TAAATTTCAATAAAAGGATAGGGTGGAAATCTTTTAAATTTCAATAAAAGCATATTTTACAATAGTTTTTAATATTTTAAATTATAATCAACATTATTCACTTCATACAATTTCTAATAAAATATACTATTTTTTCTTACAAAATATCACATTAAAATACTTTTTAAACATAAATTCAAATTAATTTTAAACCAGTGCAAAACAACCAATATATTATGTACAAGTATTTCAGATTTTAATAGAACATATTATTTGAAGTTTCTCAACATATAATATATATATATATAAAATCCATAAATTGACATATAATGAAATTTACAAAAATAGAAAATGTATAAAATTTTTATGAGCATGCACACAATAGGAGCTTTGCCGTTATAATTAAATTGTAGAAAAAAATTCAAATAATATACAATACATGGAATAACATTATTGCAACAAATGTAGATAGGTAAACCCACGTTATCTATATTGTGTGAAAGTATTTTAAATTTCAATAGAAACGTATTGTTTATATTTTCTAGCATCAAATATATAAAAAAAAATTCATAGATTGACATAAAATAAAATTCACAAAATCACATTATGCATATAATTTCTATTATGATTATGCACATCACAGGGGTTCTTCGGTTAGAATTAAGATGCCAAAAAATAAAAAATAAAAAAAGACTCGTATCAAATACTACCCTCATCCGGTTCTAAGAGTCTCATTTACTTTTTGCGTATTAATCTTTGAATATTAATTATTACATCAATACGTAGTACAAATTAAGAAAAAAATGCAAAAAAATATTTTAATTAGTGTCTTATAATACTAATAGAGAGACATTTGTACAAAAAATTATACAAATATAAGAATATTTTAAATATTAAATACAATGACATAAAAGGTAAATGTGACCTTTAAAGACGGACGGAGAAAGTACAATATATAGAATATTGTTGTAGCAAAGATCAACTGACGAAACAAACCATCCTAACTTCGGTGTTAAAGACAATTAACTTACAAATAGAATTACCCAAACAATTATTATTATTATTATTATTATTATTATTATTATTGTTGTTGTTGTTGTATCTTTCGACACCAGTGTGCCTAATGGGGATTGAACCCCAACCCACAAAAATGTGAAAGTTGTAGCTCAATCTACAATCCTTTCATATAATTACTTTAAAGTTAATTGAAGGGGAAGTTCAGCGAGGACGACACCACGTCAACCATCTGCGTTCTATTAAAACTCGCTAGTAAAGAATCGATCGCAACAAATGTGATAGATCAATTTGGGTTCGCGATTAGGGAGGAAAGAATAGAGAGAATCTCAACCATGGGTGAAAATTGGGTTTGAGAATATATATATATATATTTTTTTGGGAGGAAGGGGTGGGATTATGATACTTTTTCTATTTTAAATTTTGTTTAGTCTTGGTAAATTAATTTTAGGTGATTTAATTTAGATTTTTTAGTTAAATGTGTGTTTTAATATTTCTTAAAATATAGTTAGGTTTAATAATTTAATTTATTTGTTATTTTAATTGATATGTAAAATAATGTAATGATATATTAATAAAATATAATGGAAAATGTATTTGTAATATATACTAGATTAAATATTTATTAAATAAGAAATATAACTCTTATTGATGGACATAATAAAAGTGTAAAATCTTTTTACGTGGATGGGGGAGACATGTGTATTAATATGTTGAATTATACAAAATGAAAATGTTTAAAACACTCTGATTTTAAAGAGATACTCCCTCCGTCCCACGTAATTTGGGCGTGTTACTGTATATACGAGAATTTAAGTAAAGTATGATTAGTATATAATTAAGAAGTGTATTAACAAAAATAATTATTGTATAATAAAAATAATTATAGATTAAGATTAAGATATCTAAATAGTTTAATTAAGATTAAGATAACTAAATGTTTAATTAAGATTAAAAAAATGATAAAATATAAAATTTTAAATGCGATTAAAATGTATAATTTTATTTCTAAAAAAGGAAAAGGCAAGTTATGTGGGACAAATGAAAATAGAAAATAGAGACAAATTATATGGACGGAGGGAGTAATATGTTAAGTTTGTGTTTTTTGATAGATGTAATTTTTATACTATAGGAGAAATTATCTCAATGATATAAAAAATAATATTTTATATTAAATTATTCGATTGGAAAAATTATCTCAATGATATAAAAAATAATATAGAATAAATAAATAATTTAATATAAAATATTATTTTTTATTGAATAAAATAACATATTTATTATATGTAGGCGGTTATCGTATTTACACCATTTCCAGTCTAACACCGTGTAGACTTACCAATATCCGTTAGATCATCATCAAATATTATCAAATGGTTAGATTTTACTAGGGTTATGATGGTAAAGTGACATTAACATAATCTCATAAGACAGTTATGGATAATTTCATAACTGCAACACATTATTCTAATTCATAATTCTTGCTACGATTAAGGTTATGCAATTATGGAATTATGCATGATCCAATTGACTTTTTATTTTAAACTCAAGATTTCCCATTTTCCAAGTTGCACTATCTCTAAAACGAACTGAGCTAATAGAGAAAGTATGATGTTCTAACTATTATATTGTATTTCGTTGGTTTAAATAAGTAAGAAGATTTTATTAATATTTTTTAGTTACAGAAATTACCATATTTTACATTCTTTCCTTTTTCGATATGTACTTTGATTAATCTACCTCTCATCTTTTTTGGTATGTGCTTGTCATTTTCTCAATATTACTATTGTTGTTCTTATTAAAATAAATGGTGAAGAAAGTGAACATATCCAAGTCGTAGGAATGTACATGCAATTCTCATGTGTTTCGAGAAAAATCAACAACACTAATAAACAAATCTCTAGTCCGGTCAACCAATCGAGGAGTCGGCCATCCAAAACAGTTGTTTCAATGGCCACTTAATTTCAGTGGAGCCGGTGCTGCAGTTAATTACATTTTTTGGATACACAAAAGTTGTTTTTTATGTTACCAAATGAAGATGAATAGTACAATTCAGAAAAAGACATTGCCTATGTTTACGGCATCCCATATGGTGCTAATTGCTTTCCAATTTTAATTACTAAGTTCGATGAGTGTTATCTATATGCCAACAAGTCGCTAGGGAGTACATGCTTATAAACGGAAAGACAAAGTATATAAATGATAGTGATCAAAAGACACTTCTATAGGGAGAAGACGGCCGGAGAAACTTTGACTACTGGAGGGTTTATGTGCTTTATGCTATATGTACTTTGCTAGCACCGTCATCGCGCTCTAGAGTTCATTATACATACCTAGAATTTTTGAAGAAGAAAGGGAATGCAGATCGCTTCAATTGAGCAGGGTTAATTAGGGACAATCTTATTAGTGGCTTGAAGCAAGTTCGCGATAAGATTTAGAAGGGCGACATGTTAAGTGCTCACCCCACCGACGACATGCATTGTTTCATAGTGTCCTCCTTTTTATTTTTATATTTTCTCCACACTATCCAGATTGTGCACGCCACTAACCAGTTTTGCATTGCATTTAACATATATTTTTTTGACTTCATACATCATAAGAATGTGGCTAAAAGATTCTATACTTGTTGTATCGATAGAAACCTTATCCTAGACACCCTTTTTGAACACCTTACTAAGAAAAAGTGTGTTAAAGCCTCAGTGGTGGCCGTGCCTGAATTGAAGTGTACTAAGGTGTGGAATTCTTTATGCATATGTTTTTGCTTTATTTGGCCGTGAATAGCTTACTACAAAAATGATATCCTTCCTTATTGTATTGAAACTTTTAGGGTCTTTTTTTTTTCTTTTACATTTTTATCCTTACATCAAAGCCCATATTGTGTGCATAATCACAATGGAAGTTACACGCATCCTCAAATTTATGGAATATCATGCCTATCATATCCACCTTATCTACAGAGATTCAAAGAAAAAATCATACGCAGTAGATTATCATGAATCGAAGTATTGCTACTTCTATTTAATTGTGTTCTAAATTTAGTTTACTACTTATTTTTAATCAAAATAAGTCAGCATAACATGTAAACTAGATGTAAAATTCATTAATCTAGTTTAAATATGTACATATGTTATTTCTATGCCTTCCAAAAATGCAATGACAAACAAAGAAAACTTTCATTGTGTTTATATTGTATTTTATTGTGTTATTAACTTTTACGCATGAACAAATTGCTGTGAATAATCTTCTGATCTTTGAATTCAATATCTCAAAACTATTGCTGATAATGCTAAGAAAAATGAATAGAACAATGTGAATTAGGTGCTATCGAGATGACAATCAGGTTCTTAAAATAAATTTAAGCCAATACACGAAATATCATTTCGAGTAAGTACCTGCCCTTTCAATGCCTGATTCGACAAGATTTTCAGTCCGCTCTTCACCTTTACAATGTTGTCACAAGAAGTTGTTGTCGATTGTGCATCCATGGTCGCCCAACGACTCAATTTTTGAACACGTCTTCGACTTTCCGACTATGACTTTGGTAAAAGAGTCACTGACGTCGATTACTGTGACTAAAAATGTAGGAAAAAAATAAAAGAAAGAAGAATATTTCAATATGATGATCACGCAAGAAATAGAAAGTCAAATTTCAATCCGTAATTTAGCACTTTTTAAATCCATTGTAAATTTACGAACATAACCCTTTCTATAATCTCATATGTACGGTTAAATATAATCCAATGGATTAGTACTTATAAGCAAGCTACTGATTAGTCCTAATTATAGCCTAACTCAAGTAATATTATACTCCCTCTGTCCCACGAAATTAGTCTTATTTTTTTTTAGCCGTCCCACAAAATTAGTCCCATTTCTTTTTTAAGTAATAATTAATAAATAATTTAACAAATTAAAATAATTTAAACTTATTTATATAATTAAAAAAAGTATTGCTTATTAAATAAAATGGGAAGATAAATCACAACCACTCTATTTATTAAAAATCTAATCACACGAATTTATGTCTCTACACATTAACCAAAATCATCTTCCTTCTTTCTCTATTACTTTCTTCTGCACGTTCTCGTTCTTCCACGGATCAGGGTATTCTCTTCTTTAGATTTTTTTTTGTTTTATTTAGACCCATCATCGAGTCAGGATTTTCTATCTTCGGCGGATTGGAATCATTCACCGAGATGTAAAAATTGATTTTGCAGGTAAGCATCAATCTCAGAGGCAAACATCGATCTCAGAGGTAAGCATCGATTTGTTCGAGCTATTGTCGAATCCAGTGATTCTTCTACTGCAGAGTTAAGGATCGATTCTTTTGTTCAATTTTTTTTTTTTTACCTTTTTGTTGTTGGTAAATTTAGCATTTTAGTATAAAGATTTATTTTCATTCCTAATTTTACCCTAAATTACCGAGATTTTTCATTTTGGTGATTATTTTTGAATCGGTGCTCTACAAGTAGCTCATGTCATCTTCGAAGAAGAAATTAATCTCTATCAAAAAGGTTAGCTTACTAAGTTCATACGACAAGACTGAGAGCATGTTGGCTTGTTATGGCATAATTTCGGATTCATTGAGCTCTGATTCTCCAAAATTAGAACCAATTTCTTCTTCCGTTATTGAGCATACCGCATGTTCTAAGAGTCAAAATTATGGATGACTTCCTCTGCCTGTAGTGGAGAAGTCTAGTGGGATGAAAACTAACAATTTGAAAATAGATCTAAATTGGGTTGATGATTCTGAAGTTGAAATGAGATTTGTTGTACATAGCTTACAAATGGTGTATTTACCTAGTTTATTTAAGGACTTCGACAATAAATACCGGTTAGATTTTTACTAATTGTCTATTTATTCTTAGAACATTAATACTTTTATTAATTATGTTTCATAGAATGCAAAATATTATCGTGAATTGTAAGTAGAGCTGACAATGAGTCGATTTGTGTCAGATTCGTGTCGGGTTGAATACTTTAAACGGGTTAAAAACCCTAACCCGACCCGTTTATGATCGTGTCGGGTTCGTGTTGACCCGTTTATTATCGTGTCGGGTTCAGGTTGACTCGTGTTGACCCGTATACATAATTAAGTCAAATTTCTTGATTCAAATTAAATAATTTTTTGTTATGTTGTCGTGTTATGTTAGTTTTTATTAGTTTGAGCGTAAATTAGGTTGAATTATTTAAAATTGAACTTAGTTTAAATTAATTTATGAGAAAATTATTAAATTATGATTATTTTACATATATAATAAATATATTAATTAATATTAATATATTATAATCGGGTTGTCGTGTCGGGTTCGAGTTGAGAGCCTCAACCCTAACCCGACCCGTTCATTATCGTGTCGGGTTCATGTCAACCCATATACATAATCGGGTTGAAATATTTGATCCAAACTCAATTATTTCGTGTCGGGTCAATTTTTGTTAGCTCTAATTGTAGGTAGGAAGATATGATTACAAGTGTTGTTCAATTTCAATTTCAAAATCAATCTTTTTCTTAAATATTTGTCATTGTATTCTAACAATCCTTCTATGTAGGAGCGGAATGGATGTACCCTTGATATTTGATTGGTTTCAGTCGAAAGAACTAATTACAAACATGACAATAAATGGTACAATAGTAGATCACTTTACCATAGTAGTTGCAAATTTGAGTCCTGACGTCCCTGATGCTCTGTTGTTTGAATTTTTCTCGGTATTTCCATCTTGCACGTACGTCCTTCAACTCATTTATTCTTTGTTTATTTTGTTTTCAATATGTGGCAACCTTGTGATATAATTGTGATACTACTTTTATTTTAATACATAGTTCTCAAAAGGGTGATGTGGGATCAAAGATCGTGTAATTCATTTAAGTTTGCTTATCCAAAAAGTATTGTTCATATACTCTATTTTTGTTTATTATATGTTTCGATTTTTATATGACTCATAAAAAATGTATTCATTTTAATATTAATATAGGAACCACAGGCAGCACTAAAGGAATTCAATGGTGAGACTATTTTGTAAACTTTTTCTAATTTTTAAACATATCGTAGAAATATTGTAATCTCTATCAATAATGTAGGAAAATGGTTGCATAAGCAACATATATGTTGTAAATGAGCATCCACTATATTAGGACAGGTTAGTAAGATTCACTTTAAATTTTTATTTATATAAAATGATCGTGTAAAAACATGTTATACAAAATGAAGGCAGTAGCAATCTGACTCTATTTGAATACTTTGAATTGCACGAAACTCAAATCATTAACATTAAGATCAGGTGAATTTGGAGGTTGGTTAATCAACTGAATATTGAAGCTATCACTGGTAGCTTCTTGCCTAAAATCAACATCATCATTGCGAATGTGTGATTTCACATTGTCTTGTTGAATGTAAATTGTTCGGTGTAAACAAGACGACCACTTTTCCTTTATTGTTGGAATTACATTAAATATTTATTTAAAATAATAAATAAACATCAAACATAAAGTTTCAAGATGTACACGTAAGGTTTAAAGATGAAAATATGATTGAGCTATTAAATTTGTAACCTAGTTGATTAGGCAACTTTTAACTACATCTCTAGTAACATAGTCATTTGTCTTAGTCTCTAAAGTGCCAGCTGGCCTATTTCTTCTTGGTCTCTTCGCTGGAACTCTATATGTAAATGGGAAGATAGGTATAACTGTACCATCAACATCAAAGATAGGCCGACTAACTGCACACATAAACATCACTTTCATGACAAATTTCTTTCTTTGGCATAATCGATCTGGATCGGCCTCACCTGGTGTTAAATAGAATCTTTTTGTACTCTGAGTAAGATAAAACCACTTCTTGTCAATATTATCTGTATTCTTCATCATTTTAAATTCCAATACCTTACGTCTTGCTTCCCAAACAATCGATTCAAGAGCAAATGAAAACTGCAATTACTTATTGGGAGCTGTGAGAGTAGGCCTTGTTGCACTAGTATGTGGTCTAATCGCATTATATTTAATCCATTGCCTCTTGTGTTCGACCGATCTGGGTTTCTAAAAAACCTAACCCACCTCGAACACGGCCGTGTTCCAATAATACACGCCCGTGTTTGCTTTACAATGAATTAACTTTTAATGAACTCAACATGGCCGTGTATCAAACACACACGGCCGTGTACGGAAACACGACCACGAACATGGCCGTGTATAACCCCCCTGGACTATTTTGTTTCCACAACATGCCCGTGTGCACAAGTACACGGGCGTGTTTTTTGTACACGAGGAAATGTGTAAAACACGGCTAACACAACCGTGTTTTGACAGAACACGGTCGTGTTCAGTTGCACGGTGAAATACATGGGCATGTCTAACACCTCAACTATTCCGTAAAACCAACACGGCCGTTTTTTCTATAACACGGCCGAGTACTACTACACGGCCACTGACATGGCCGTGTCTGACCCCTGGGTTCTATTCTGTTATTCGAACACAATCGTGTTGCCTATAATAGGGCCGTGTTCGACTAAACGGCCACTGAAATGGCCGTGTCTGACCCCTGCGTTCTATTATGTTTCCGAAACACGGCTGTGTTGGTAACGATACGGCCGTGTTTGACTAAACGGCCACTGACATGGCTGTGTCTGAGCCTTGTGTTCTACTCTGGTTTCGGAACATGGCCATGTGGTTGTCTAACACGGCCGTGTTCTATGTACTCTGAGTAATACTTTGCGATTCAACACGCCAGTGTATTTTTAAGACACGGCCATATTTGTGGTTTTTGCAATCGTAATGCATGCGTACACGGCCGTGTTGTGAGTTACACGCCCGTGTTTAACCCTAAATTTTTGCTAGAACCATTGTTAAAATTAACGCATCCAAACACAACATCTACACAAAAACAATACCAACTAATAAATCAAAATTCATCCATACGTCAAACCCACAACAAACATAAGTCAAATTCATACACAATAACAAAAGACAAATAATATAAGACTAATTCAAATATAGTAACATAAGTCAAATTCACAGAGAGTAACACAAATCAACTCCACAAACATGCCCCAAATTCATATTTTTTCTTAATGTGTCTCACTCGATGTTCCGTCTTCAGTTGTTGCACCCCTTCCAAACGTTCTTTTTTTCACCTATTTCATACAAACGGTAAGAGTTTATTGTAATCGAAAAATTAATATGTGTACCAATATATCACACACCACATAAGTTGTGTACCGTTGACTTTGGAATGGAAGGTTGTATTGTAGGAGTCTCGGCTTGTTGAATTTGTGGAGTTGAGATACTTTGACTTTGCGTCGGAATATCGCATCTCTGCGACAACTCATCAGCAAGTTGCATTCCGTCCGCCGTGGAATTTGATTCGATCAAAGTTGCTCTTCTCTTTTGGAAACCGTTCAAAGTATGTCCAACAAGCCCACAAGATTTGCAAGTTCTTCTGACTTTTTGTCTTGGTAAAATACTCTCACTAACCTTTTTTCCCCGTGATTGACCTTTCTCTATTACTTCATTGAGGTCACGTCTCCTTGCCTTTTTAGGTCTTCTAATAGCTCGTTTAACATTTGGGGGAGGTGGTAGAGGCAATTCAGTTTTTTGCCACATTTTTTGACCATCTATTGTGCCAATAGAATATGAATACACTTTATTGAATGTCTCAACGCTGTATATTTCGTCAACAAAATCCTTTGAATTTAACTGTTGTCCACATATAGCACTCATCGCATGGCGACATGAGATACCACATAACTCCCATTTTCTACATCTGTAGGATTTTTTTAAATGTCAACAACAAATCGATTCCCATCCGAATAATAAATCTCGTAACATCAATCATTGACTTTAACGGGTGCACAAAAAGAAGCTACTTGAATTTTTTTTCCATAATTTTTACTATCTTGGGGCAAAAGCGCATATCCCCCTATTTTCTATGCGTCATCTCCCTTCGTTTATGAAGCAGTGTTAATAAATATCTTATAATCCACTCCAACATCGGCAGTATCGATATTTCTTTTGCATCTAATATTATACTATTGAATGATTCACATAAATTGCTCAAGATCTAATCGAATTGCTCAAGCCACCGTCTCAGTGGTCAAGATCACATTTTGCTACATTTTCGAAATATAATATATACTATTGAATGATTCACATAAATTGCTCAAGATCATATTATATTTAAAAAATGTAGCAAAATGTGATCTTGACCACTGAGACGGTGGCTTGTCGGCAAGCCAATCAATGCATTTCGGATCCAACTCTTGAATCACCTTCATCACCTCCTCAAAGTCGGGGACAGTACTTGCGTCAAGCAGCCATCCAAATCAATCTTTTATATGCAAGACCCTTAAATCCAATTGTTTTCATATTTCCATACAAATGTCGAACACAAAATCTTTTTTCGCATTGAGGAAAAATCTTTCCATGGCTGGAACAAAACTTTTTTGTTTGTCAGATATAAAGGTATAACCCTCGTGCTCTATGTTCAAATCCTCCCTTAAAAGAGTGAAAAATCATTCTCAAGCTTCGCGCGTCTCACTCCCGACAACAACATATGTCAAAAGAAACAATTCATTGTTGGGATTAATTCCAATAGCAGTCAAAAGAATGTCTTGGCAAGGACCTTTTAGGTGACAACTATCCACCCCAATGATAGGTCGACATCCAGACTGAAACCCACGCACAAGCAATTTCAAACATATGTAATACTTGCTAAATCTGCGTTGTCCATTCAAAAACTCGTCTTCCAATTGCATCAAAATAGTTGACCCAGGATTAGACTGTCGTAAAACTTCAGCATAATCCCACAACTTTCCATACTGCTCTTCAGCATCACCTTCAATTGCCTTCAGTGCCTATTTTCGCGCTCTGTATGCTTGTTGTTGGGATATATTGCATATAATGTCTTATGTGATGTCTTTCCTAAACCTTTTTATACATCGTTTAGGATATGATCGAAACAATGACTCATATTTCCTTGCAAGCCATGTCGACTTCACATTCTTCACATTCAAGTCACACATACAATCATGATTGCAATTATATGTCCTTAGTTGAAAAGATGTTTGATCATTCACCTTTAACGCATTCATTTTCCAATTGCAGTTCTCAACGGCACATCGGACATAAACTCTTCTTTTATCATTCTTGACAAATTTCAAACTTCTCATTGTTTTGATAGCATGATTCTGAACCGCCTTCTTAAATTCTTTTTTAGAGCTAAAAATCATTCCAAGACTAAAAGCGGGATCATACTTTGACGTTGGATTATAAATGGCATACGATTCCATCTCATCAACATCGGATTCAACAAACATGGTTAATTTTTTTTCTTGAGAATCACCAAATGACATGTCATATTCGAAATTTTGGTGCACTACGACACTTTGATTTTCATTAAACTCATTTATATTCACATTACTCTCGAACAATGACTGATCAATCCTATCATCATCCGAATCTTGTTCTTCCATCATATAATCAGAATCCTCAAAATCCGATTCATTAAGCATTTCATTCCACTCATCTTCTTCTCGAATTTCATTGTAATCCAAATTTACATCTTCATCGTATATTTCTTCGACACATTTTCCTTTATCATAACTCATTTTTATGATAATTAATTTTCTCCTACAATACAAGTGAGAATATAATACATATTGAATACACTGCTTATAAAATACAAAAAATTATGCATTAATTATAAAACAATACATTATATAAAATTTATTTCTATAATATTCAATTTTTCATACAATATAATTCATTAATCACTAGAATATACAAGCTATACATATTATATTTTTTATACTATAAAAGACAATAAATTTATGAAAAGAACAAATTATAAATTACCTCCACAATAGATTCCACAAGAATATTCTTCACTTCAAAGAGATAAAATATAATAGATGAAAAGTGAGGTTAATAGGTTGGAGAAGTGGGGTTGGAATGGAAAAGAAATTGGAGAGAATTCGAGTGAAATAGATTTGAAATTGGGGACATGCTAGGGTTTTTGTTAACAACAAGATCGAATACGGTCGTGTTTATTTAGAAACACGGCCGTGTAAGGCTAATTCTAATCGGAAATATTTTTAATAGTACAACACGGGCGTGTGTTATTTGAACACGCCCGTGTTCCAAGCCTAGTGTGTTCTGCAATCTTAAACATGCCCGTGTTTGATTCGGTTCCAATAAACACGGCCGTGTTTCATATAAACACACCCGTGTTGGATTCTCAAATTCAGTCAGATGACGTGTATTTTAAACACAGGCGTGTTTTATGCAACAAGGGCGTGTTGTGTCCGAGTCAGCATCCGTAACAGCCACGTCAGTTAGAACCGTTAAAATTTGAACGGTGGGACTAGAAATGATAAATAATTTTTTGAGTAGGACTAATTTTGATAATTTTTTTTTGTATGAGACCAAAAATAAAAAAATTAAATTTGAATGAGACTCCAAATTATTTTTACTCTATAATATGATATTTTTATTAAAAAAAAATACTCATTATTCGTTAAACACCATTTTATCTATTTGTTTTAATTTTATATAGTAATATCAATAGACCGGTCTTGATTTAGAAAAAAAGATAAAAAAAAAAAAAAAAAACCGACAATCTTGTATAAGCCTAAGATAAATATTTGAATAAGATCATCTGAATTCCATTTTATCGATTATGATTTATTAAACTTTTATAACACAAAGTTTACTAATTTATTCAGGTAATCACAATATTAAATGAAATACTATGATATTGAGTGATTGGCATTTTAGTTGAGCATGCATATAATCCCTACTGACTGTTATATATATTTATCAACATCGACGCTCTAACTTCTCTCCAGAGTGTGTTCCCGACACAACGCCTTCCCGTCTCACAGTAGGCTTCATTTTCATCACGCATCTAATACGATGGGTGATCCCATCCTCGATGCGCATCCGTACATCTCTTTCCAACAAATTTATTTTCCCTGCAGATTCCAACCCATTACAAACCAACCTGTACGTATACTCTCTCGGAATCGAACCTCCCGAGACTAACTCCGCCAGAAAATCCATGGCCTCCTCAACCCTCCCCGTCTCGCACAGGGAGTGAATGATCGGCGTGAAAGAACTCGTGGCGGCATCGCCGTGACGCCTTTCTTGCATCCTCCGCAGCATCTCAATCGCGCGGTCGACCTCATTCACGGCGCTGTAATACCTGATGAACGAATTGTAGGTAATCCTATTCGGGGCGCACGATTCCCCTCTTTTCGTCATATCATTGAACAGCTCCAAAGCTCGCTCGATCCGGTTAGTCTTGCAGCAGCAATTGATCAAAGCGTTGTAAGTGACGACATCCGGGGCGAATCCGTTGAAAAGCATTAGCCGGAAGGTGTGGTTGGCCTCCCACAGGCGGTGCCGGATGGCCTTCCGGGAGGCAGTCTCCATGGCGTGGCGACAATGGGAACTGATCAGAATGGTGTAGGTGAAGACGTCGGGAGGGCATCTGAACCCCGGCAGCTGCATCTGCTCGAACAAGAACTTGGCTTTCTTGAAAAGTCCGACTCGGCAAAGGGCGTAGATTACATTGTTGTAAGAACAGACGTCGGGCTTGCAGCCGAACTGCTTCATCCTGTAAAATGCAGACAAAGCTTCGTTCACCAAACCTTCGTCGCCCAAAGCTCGAATCAACGAGGTCATGGTGGCTGTGGTGATAAGGTTGCGTTTCTCATTCCTTTTCGACATGTTCTTCAGAAAATCCCATAGGAGATTCATTCGATTTCCCTTGGCCAAAACAAGGGCCATCTCTTTGCAGGTCTGTTCATCGTGATCGAATCCGAATTGGATGGCAACCCAATAGTAGAATTCTAGGGCTTTTTCGAGCCCTAGATTTAGGGATTTGGGGTCCCGGTGAGCTGCAGGGCCGAGAATCAGAGAACCTTTTTGATACTTGATTGCTTCTTCTTTGAGATTCCTTTGCTTCAGCGGGGAGCGATGGCGGAAGGATTTCTGCCGGCCGATTGATCTCGGGGATTGGAAGAGGTACAGAGGTATTGATCTTAGGATTTGAACGACAGTTTCCGAAGTCCAGATGATTTGATTGGAAGCAACAGTGCTGGCGCTGAATGATTTGTTTTCGATTATCACCGCTAGGACTTGCCTGACCACGCCATCGCTTCCGGTGGAGTAGCGGCGGAGGACCGCCGGCGGCATACTAACAAATATAACCAAATCAAAATTTCATCTTGACACTGTGAAAGATATCATAATAAGTAACAACTAACAAACAAACTTACGCACTCACAGCACAAGCAATTCTATCGAAACCCTAGGAAATATCTGCATAAAAACTCCTAAAGACCAAAACAGAGCTGTATCGAGCTAGTCGAAACCGAACGGCAAATCAAGATCAGGCCCAATCTAGATAAGGCCCGTAATATATTTATTTTATTTATAAAATATTTATATATACATATTATTCCCTCTTTTCTTTTCCATAACAAAGTTTTAATTTTTTCATTTTTACTAAGTATCCATTTCTTTTTTTTTTTTTTATAGTAAATGTACAGTCTACCTAATGTTACAAATACCCTTACAACTTACAATATATTACACAAATGTCATTACCTTTATATCACACATACCAATAAGGTTATTTTAGTCATTTTTACTTTATTTCTACTATATCCAATATAATACTAATATTTTTAAAATTAAATAAAAAAGCAAATGGGTATTTACTTATGGAACGGAGAGACTATTTGATTTTAATATATTTATAGAAGAATATGACTTGATGGTTACATGGTCCATGTACTACTTATGAGGTTTTGAGTTTAAACACATGTACCCTTAAAATTTGAAAGTATTTTTAATGCATTAAACAAAGTTAATATTAATTAATACTATTATTAATATTCTGCATATAAAAATATTAGAAATTTTATTTTATTCAATTGTTTATGTTTTATTATAAATAAAAAAATATACTCCCTCCGTCCCAATACAATAGTCGTGTTTATCATTTTTTTTCGTCCCAAAATAATAGTCTCATTTCCATAAATAATCATATCACTATAAAACTACCATTACTTTTTCATTATTATTACACAATTGTCACTATTTTTTACACTAATACACTCACAAGGGCAAAAAAGTCTTTTAATCGTATTTTTTACCCACTACCAATATAATATCAATATTTTTAAAATCTCGTATCAAACACAATCCAGACTATAATTTTGGGATGGAGGGAGTATTATTTATAAATGTTGTTTAGACAAAATTAATATTAATACTATTATTGATGATGTTTTATCGATCTGTCTTTGGTCAATTAAACAAAATATATAATTATGATTATACATATGTAGAAGCTCAATTACTTGTATTATGTATACTTATTTTGTGATATTATGTGTCAAAGTAATAGGAAAAAGATCATAATTTTTAATGTGGGTGTTCAAACAAGTTGAATATTAGTTTAAAGTTTCAACTCAAGCTCGAACCGTAGTATTTACTTTTTTTTTTTTCTTTTGCGAGTACTATTTAGTTCTTTCCTATGTACATGATTCTATCAATACAAATACCATTTTATACTGAATAATTAATACCGTATACTTTGATAATATATATATAGGATAAAAATATACATTTTTCGTCCCACTCGAATATACCATTATGGAGTTCTGTAGTAGATTAAGAAATAATAGTATATGATTGGTTGATAGAAATGTGTAAGAAGTTTTGACATTTTTTGCTCTTTAATTTTATGTAAAAAATAATTGTATGTGTAATGGTCTATTTATAATTTAATTAAAAGTTAAAGCTATTTTGATATTAATATATGATTACTTTTACTAAAATAGGAAAAAAAATACTTTTGAGTGGAACTGACAAAAATGGTAAAAAAAGAACTGTTAATTGGGACGGACGCAGTACAACGTTTTTCCTTAAATGTGGGTGTACCAAACCCGCCTGCATGAATTATTCCCGGCTTGGTAAAGTGTCACACGTGAATCCTAGACACCGATTGGATCCATCAAGAGACAGTGGCGGAGCCAGACCGAATGATTTGGAGGCTGAAAATTAAAATATATATATCTGTCGCAAGTTAGGGAAATTTTCTACTCTTTTAGACAAACTTACGGCCAATAATTATAATTATTTGAAGTTATGTATGGAGGCTTTTCTTCAAGGACAAGACATGTGGGATCTTATTTCTGGTGATAAAAAACAAATTCCAATTGACACCCCGCAAAATTCCGAATTTCGAAGGAAATGGAAGATCAAATGAGGGAAGACACTCTTTGCCTTGCGAACATCTATCGGACCAGAATACATAGATCATGTTCGAAATTTGACAAGGCCAAGTAAAGTCTGGGACACATTGGAAGTTCTTTTCACCAAGAAGAATACGGCTCGGCTCCAATATCTTGAAAATGAGTTAGCAGTAACTTTTCAAGGTAATTCATCTATTGCATAATATTTTTTAAAGATCAAGAGTTTGTGTGCTGAAATTTTAGAGTTGGAGCCGACAGAAAAAGTCAGTGATAATCGGCTGCGTAGATACCTAGTTCGTGGCCTGCGTCAGGATTTTATGACATTTGTATCTTTCGTACAAGGGTGGCCAATGCAACCTTCAGTCATTGAGTTAGAGAACTTGCTCTCAAATCAAGAGGCACTAATGCAACAAATGTCAACCAAGCAACCTTCCTTACAAATAGATAGTGCTCTCTACTTCAAGGATCAAAAGAAGAAAAGTTCTTTGCGACAACAGGGAACAGAGAAGGAGCAACCGAAGGATATATCTAAATCCTGTTACAGATGTGGGAAGACGGGTCACATCAAATGTTTTTATAGGGCAAAAGTGACATGTGAACGGTGTGGGAAACAAGGGCATATTAAGTCAAATTGCAGAGTTAAAATGCACAATGCTAAAGTGAATGTTGCACAGGAGAAAGATGATCCTCAAGAACCAAATTGGGAGAAATGTCTTTCCATTGAAATTGTTGATCAAGAATGAGGGAGAATGTTGTATTGCCCAAGACTGACATAGCAGCATATACAAATTCTCTTATTGATTACAACAAAGAATGGATAATTGATTATGGATGTTCTCACCACTCTACCGGAAATATCAAACTACTTTCTGGTGTTCGTCCACATCTTGGAAAGAAGGTTGTCATAACTGCGGATAACTCAATACACACGGTAAAAAATGAAGAAGATTCAAATAATAGAGATATTTGTTTGAAGAACATCTATCACGTTCCTGGTCTGACAAAGAATGTTACCTCTGTCTCGTAATTAACTGATTCTGGTCAATATGTTCTTTTAGGTCCTAACAATGTTCAAGTTCTATCAAACATGAGGCAGGTTGATGCTGATGTCTTGTTCACGGGAAAGAGAAAAGACTCTTTATATGTGTTGTCAGCAAGTGCTGAGTATGTGAAAATGACGGGTAAAACAGCAAGCTCGGCATTATGGCATGCTCGTTTGGGCCATGTCGGCTATCAGTTATTTCACAAAATCTCTGTGAAGCGTCTTCTAAATGGCATCCCTGTCTTTAGAAATATCCGATATGATGAAAGTTGTTCAGGTTGCCTATACGGAAAGTCTCACCGTCATCCATTTCCAAATTCAGAAAATCGAGCATCCAGGCCACTCCAGATGATTCATTCTGATATTTTGGGACCAACCAACGTACCGAGCTATACGGGGTTTCGCTACGTGATAGTGTTTGTGGATGAATTTTCTCGATTTACTTGGGTACATTTCTTAGTCCACAAAAATGAAGCCTTTTCTAAATTTCTACAATTCAAGGGTACTGCAGAAAAGGAATTGGGAGCTTCTATTAATTGCCTACGCACGGATAATGGTGGAGAATTTTTATCAAATAAATTCTCAGATTACTGCAAGGAGCATGGGATCCAGCGTCAAATCACATGTCCAGACACGCCGCAACAAAACAGAGTTGATGAACGTAAATTAGCTCATCTTACATCTATATGCCTATGCTGGCTACATGAAAAAGGTCTTGCAAGAGAGTTGTGGGCAGCTTCTTTTCATATGGCATGTCATGTGACAAATAGGTTGCCGCCATGGCCAGGGAACGAACCATCTTTTTTCGAGCTGCTATATTATAGTAAACCAAATGTAAGTAATTTTCGAGTTTTTGGATCTATTTGTTTTGTTCATATACCAAAACAAAAATGAACTAAACTGGATCCAAAGGCTAGATGTTGCAGTTTTGTTGGCTATGATACTCAAAGGAAAGGTTGGAGATGCATGGATCCCGACACAAAAAATGTCATCATTTCTCGTGATGTAGTGTTTGATGAATTTTCATCAAATCAGTATGATGGAGGCCAGAGTAATGACATATTCCCTCCCCATGGAAAGGTTCCTTTGTTTGAAGATGATGTGCAGCTGGATCATTCCGATAACGACGAGTTCTTGTCGGAGACAAATGTTCCGTTGGCTGAAGAAGATGTGCAACTGGACGAGACTGTTGATGTTGTCCCACGAATGGGGACAAGACAAAGGAAACCACCAAGTTACTTAGTTGACTATCAAGTTGAAGCGAATCAACTCTCCATTCGCTCGTGCTTGTTCATGAGAGAACATTTTGAAGATGAACCAACATCTTACAATGAAGCCAAGAGGATCCCAAAATGGGAAGAAGCAATGCGCGAAGAGATATTGGCACTAAATAATAATAACACTTGGGAGTTGGTACCCAAGCCAATGGAAGTCGATTTAATCTCTTGCAAGTGGGTTTTTAAAGCTAAGAAGGGAACTGATGGAAAAATTCATAGATATAAAGCTCGCCTCGTAGCTCGTGGGTTTTCACAGAAATATGGGCAAGATTATGATAAGACAATTAGCCCTGTAGCCCGAATGGTAACGGTCAGAACCATCATCTCCTTAGCTGCTTGCAAGGATTGGAAATTGTGGCAATTAGATGTGAAAAACGCTTTCCTTTACGGAGACTTGGATCGTGATATCTTTATGGAATAACCTCAAGGTTTTGTATCCACAAAATTCCCCGATCACATTTGTCGACTCAAGAAAGCATTATATGGCTTGAAATAAGCCCCGCGTGCATAGTACGGTAAAATTGCTCAATATCTTATCTTTTGTGGCTTTAAATCATCAAATGCAGATCCTGGCTTGTTCATTCGAAAAACAACTACTACAAATATCTTGCTTCTGTTGTATGTGGACGACATGATTATCACATGAGACAATCATGCCGAAGTTACTCGCCTGCAAGATGATCTTTCTTTACGTTTTGAAATGAAACGTCTGGGTGAATCCAAATGCTTCCTTGGTCTGGAAATAATAAATTCTCCTACTGGATACTTTGTCTCTCAAGTTGGATATGCTAGGAGACTGCTGGAAAGATTTAAAATGGTGGAATCAAAGGTTATGACTACTCCCATGGAATCTTCTTTAAAGTTGTCCGGAGATGGAGGAAAGTTGCTGAAGGATTCAACCATGTTTCGAAAAATTATTGGTAGCTTATTCTACCTAACATTTACTAGACCCGACATTGCGTACTCTATTGGAGTTATTTCACAATTTATGGATAAACCTTGTTACCCACATCTCATTGCAGCAAAAAAGATCCTTCGGTATGTCAAAGGCACTCAAAGTTACGGATTGATGTACAAGAAATTTAAGCCATTTGATCTAAGCGGCTTTATCGATGCTGATTGGGCCGGTGATGTGAATACTCGGTGTTCCACAATTGGGTTCTACTTTACAACAGGCTCTGTTGCAATATCATGGTGTAGCAAAAAGCAAAACACTGTAGCCCTTTCAAGTTGTGAAGCGGAATATATGGCCGCAACTATGGCAACACAAGAATGTCTATGGATTAAGAGGCTTATGGAGGAAATCCTGGTGCCCATCAGAAATGCAATTCCGATCAGCTGTGACAATGAAAGTGCGATCAAGCTCTCCGAAAATCTAGTGTTTCATGCGCGCAAAAAAAATATATTGAAACTCACTACCACTTTGTGCAAGAAAAGGTGTTAAGTCAAGACGTTGTGTTGCTGGAGATTTGGACAGATGATAATGCTGCAGATGTATTTACAAAACCGCTTGCCAAGGCCAAGTTTGAGGTATTTCGAGAACCTCTTGGTATCATTGACCGTAAATTTGCACTAAGGGAGGATGTCGCAAGTTAGTGAAATTTACTAAGTTGAATAAGTCTATTGTTTTAGATATTTTATTATTTGAATAAATCAGAGTCAGTTAAGTTGTTGCTAAATTTAAGAAAATAAGTTTGGAGTCAAGTAGTTAGTTGCTTATTTTTATTATTCATTTTCTATAAATATCAGTTGTTCTTATTCTTAGAAGTTAGTCGAGAATATTGTATTTTCCCTTTCATTATTGTATCAGATTTGGTTAAATAGAGGTTTACACCTTTACTTTCGTTGGTTTTCTCTACGTTGGGTTCTTTATTTCAATATCCACCTAAATTTATTAAATTTTACTATTATGTTAAGTATATAATTTTAATTAGTTTATTATTTAATTTTACTTATTGTATAATATAATTTATATTAAATATAATTATATAAAAATTTGTTGTGGGATTTTCATTAAAAATAATAAAATTTTAAATTAAAATAATTATTTATGATATAAATATGTACTACTATAATATTTTAAATATAAATTTTTTATATATATAGTATTATAAATACAAAATAAATATTTAAATATATATTTTTAATTTTTTTTAAATAATTAAAAATAAAAAATTAAAAAAAAATACTACAATAGTAAACATACAAAAATAAATATTACCATATTATTATTGTTATTAAGTCTATATCACTAATAATAATAATAAATTAAAATATGTTACAAAATACATACGTAGTAACACGAAGCAACTACGTAGCATATATATCTGCTTTTATCTTCCTTCCAATTGAAGTTTCTTTCCTATAAATACGACTATGAAATGTTTAATGAAGATACAATTTGCATTCAATTCTCTCCTTCTTACTTTAAACATTTTGCATAAATATTATTATATTATATATATGTACATATTGCCTTATAAATACTTGATATATATAAATATACTTACTAATATTATATTATATTATTATTATATAACACGTTATCAGCACGAAGGTTCTTTGCCCATTTTATTTTTAGTAAGTTTTATTTTTATATTATCTATATTATCGATTTTCTAAATTATGAAAAATCTTGCAAAATTTTCTTTTAAACCTCTGTCTCTCATCGGCAATAATTTTCTGACTTGGTCCCTGGATGTAGAAATGCATCTGGTTTCTATGGGTCTTGTTCATACAATTGCCAGTGAAAATACGGCTACAAGCCAAGATCGGGCTAAGACTATTATTTTCATCCGTCACCATCTGGACATTCCTTTACAGTCCAAATATTTGACGGTGAAAGATCCACTTGATTTGTGGAATGAATTGAGGGAGAGATTTGGACACTTGAAATATATCACTCTCTCCAAAGCCCGACATGATTGGCTTAACCTGCGGTTGCAGGATTTTAAAACTGTTACAGAGTACAACTCTGCTATCCATCATATTACATCTCAGTTGAAACTCTGCGGAGAAAATGTTACTAAGAATGATAAATTGGAGAAGACTTTCTCTACCTTCCATGCTTCGAATGTTGTGTTGCAACAACAGTATCGTGAGAAAAACTTTCAAAAGTACTCACAGCTCACTGCATGTCTTTTATTAGCTGAGCAAAATAATGAGTTACTGATGAAAAATCATCAGTCCCGGTCCACTGGTTCTAGTCCGTTCCCTGAAGCGAACGTGATATTTTATGAACAAGGCCGAGGACGTGGTAGAGGCCGTGGACGTGGTCGCGGTCGTGAGAGTCAATGCGGTCGATATACCCCTTACAATCACCACAGTTTTGACATTAACATGATGCAGAGTAAACCCCAATATGGGGATATAGCCGAAAAAGCTAAACAGGGAAAGAGACAAATCTGCATTTGTAATCGGTGTGGCAATGAAGGCCATTGGGCCAATACCTGTAGAACAACCAAACACCTAGCCGATCTTTATCAAGCCTCACTAAAGAAAAATGGGAAGGAGGTCGAGACTAATCATGTTGATAATGATGACGACCCTGATGATGATCTTCTGGATTACGACACAACGCATCTTGATATAGCGGATTTTTTCGTAGATCCAGCAAACCCCTAGTGATAGACATATTATGTCATTTTATATTTTGTAATATTTAAATTATCGCATATTACCTTTTGTAATGTATTTTGTAATACTTATATCTGTCTTTATTAATACTGCATTTATTTATATTTGAAGGTTAAATGGATGCCAATCAAAACGATGCAAATATGTGTTTCATTGACAGTGCAACGACACATACTATATTGAAACACGAAAAATATTTCTCCCATTTGAAAAGGGAAAAAATGAATGAATGTCAATACAATAAGTGACAGTGCAAAATTAATTGAAGGCTTTGGAGAAACCATTATATTTCTCCCTGCGGGGACGAAAATTGTGATACAGTATGCACTGTTGGCCACTAAAGCTCGAAGAAACTTACTGAGCTTTCAGGACATTCGGAAAAATGATTATCACATTGAAACTATGAGTGATACCGATGGTGAATTTTTATTGATCATCAATATCATTGATAAAAAGAAATGCATCATTGAGAGATTGCCCTCACTCTCTACTGGCTTATATTATGTCAAATTATGTGGTGTTGAAACACACCTCACGGTAGATCAAAAGACTACCTATTTTCAAGTATGACATGATCGCCTTGGACATCCTGGCAGTATAATGATGAGGCGAATAATTGAGAATTCGCATATCCATTCATTAACAGGTCAAAAAGTGTTAAACTCAAATGAGTTAACCTGTGTTGCCTGCACTCAGAGAAAATTGATAACCAAGCCATCGCTAGCTAAAGTAGGTATTTAATCACCTACATTTTTGGAAAGAATACACGGGGATATATGTGGACCAATATACCCACCATGTGGACCATTTAAATATTTTATGGTGCTTATTGATCCATCTACGAGATGGTCCCATGTTTGTTTATTATCTACTCGCAATAGGGCATTTGCGAGATTACTTGCCCAAATTATTAAATTACAGGCACAATTCCCCGATAATCCAATTAAGACTATACGTCTGGATAATGCTAGTGAATATACATCGAATGCATTTGATGATTATTGCATGTCGATTGGAATTAATGTAGAGCACCCAGTTGCTCATGTCAGAAACAAAATGGCCTGGCAGAATCACTTACTAAAAGATTGCAATTGATTTCAAGACCATTACTGATGATGTCTATGTTGTCCGTTTCAGCTTGGGGGCATGCAATCTTACATGAAGGAACACTTATAAGAATGAGGCCGACAAGCTATCATAGCTATTCCCCAATGCAGTTAGTATTTGGTCACGAACCAAATATATCTCATCTAGATATTTTTGAGTGTGCTGTTTATGTTCTTATTCCACCCCCCAAACGTACCAAAATGGGTCCTCAACATAGATTGGGCATTTATGTCGGATATGAATTACCTTCAATTATAAAATATCTTGAACCTATGACGGGTGATTTATTCACTACAAGATTTGCATATTGTCATTTTGGCGAATCATATTTTCCTACATTAGGGGGAGATCGAAATGAACCGAAAAGGGATATTAATTGGAAAATCCCATTGAGTTTTAATGATCCTCCTACAAAGCAGTGTAAACTAGAAGTTCAACGCATTATACATTTGCAAAATATTGCAAATCAGTTACCGGATGCATTCAATGACTCGAACAAAGTCACTCGATCATATATCCAAACTGCTAATGCTCCGACTAAAATAATTGTCCCTGATGGACAAATTGAAAGTGCTAATGAATCAACAACACGCTTAAAGCTTGGTAGACCACTCGGTTCCAAAGATAAACATCCTCGAAAGAAAAGAGGAATTAATGATGATAATCATGAAAATATCAGGAATGACATTGATAAAAACCTCAATCTAATGAGGAAGTCAATCCTGAAATAATTGCTCAAGAAGAGCACGATCTTGAAGAACATTATGAGATTATTGAAAACTCAATTAACTATGTTACTTCAAGAAAATGTTGGAACCGCAAAGAGACAATTATTGATAATGCTTTCGCATACAATTTAGCACTTGATATAATGGAAGAAAATGAGGATCCAGAGCCAAAGTCGGTTCATGAATGTCGGCAAAGAAATGACTGGCCAAAATGGGAAAATGCGATTCAATCAGGCTTTGACTCATTAAACAAAAGAGACGTCTTTGGACCAATTGTTCAAACACCAGATGGTATAAAACCAGTTGGATACAAATGAGTGTTTGTACGAAAAAGAAATGAGCATAATGAAATTGTGAGATATAAAGCCCGTCTTGTAGCTTAGGGATTTTCGCAAAGACCTGGAGTAGATTTTGATGAAACATACTTTTCAGTTGTTGATGGAATAACTTTTAGATACCTTGTGAGCCTAGCAGTGCGAGAAAAGCTCGATATGCGTCATTTAGACGTAGTTACTGCATATCTTTATGGCTCATTGGATACTGATATTTATATGAAAGTTCCTGAGGGATTCAATATGTCTGAAGCATACAAATTAAACCCAATGGAATCATATTCCATCAAATTGAAAAAATCATTGTATGGACTTAAACAATCAGGGCGAATGTGGTATAACCGTCTTAGTGAATGTTTAATAAAAGAATGTTATACTAATAATCAAATATGCCCATGCATCTTTATCAAGAAAAATGGATCAAATTTTGGCATTATTACAATATATGTTGATGATCTCAATTTAATTGGAACTCCAGAAGAGATCCAAATTGCAGTTGAATATCTAAAGAAAGAATTTGAGATCAAAGATTTTGGAAAGACAAAATATTGTCTGAGATTACAAGTGGACCATGTTAATAATGAGATATTTATTCATCAATCCACATATACCCAAAAGGTATTAAAACAATTTTATATGGGTAAATCTCACTCTCTGAGTACACCAATGATGGTCAGATCCCTTGATCCCAGATCTATTTAGACCAAGAGAAGAAAATGAAGAAATACTTGGCCCCGAAGTACCATATCTCAAGGCTATTGGCACATTAATGTACCTTGCAAATTATACCAGACCAGATATATCTTTTTCAGTAAATCTACTGGCTAGGTTTAGCGCATTCCCCACAAAGCACCATTGGAATGGTGTCAAGCACATTTTTCGTTATCTTCAGGGGACTCATGACCTCGGTCTATTTTATTCGAGAGAATCTCGAAATGAATTAATTGGTTATGCTGACGTTGGTTATCTGTCTAATCCACATAAAGCAAAATCTCAAACAGACTATTTATTTACTTGTGGCGGAATCCTAATCTCTTAGAGATCTGCTAAACAGACGATAACAACTAATTCTTCAAACCATGCTGAGGTTTTAGCAATTTACGAAGCCAGTCGTGAATGCGTTTGGTTAAGGTCTATGACTCACTATATTCAGAAAAATTGTGGTTTGATTACCGATGATATATTACTTCCTACAATATTATTCGAAGATAATGCGGCTTATATAGCTCAGTTAAAGGGGGATATATTAAAGGCGATCAGACAAAGCACATATCTCCGAAGTTTTTTTTCACTCACGATCTTCAGAAAAGTGGTGAAATTGATGTGCAACAAATTCGATCTTCTGAAAATTTTGCAGACTTATTTACGAAGGTGCTACCGACTGCAACATTCAACAAATTGATACAAGGAATTGGAATGCATCGGCTGAAAGATATCAAATAAAGTTCAAACAGGGGGAGCGCATTAATACAAAAATGATGTACTCTTTTTCCTTCACTATGATTTTTTCCCACAGAGTTTTTTCATAGTAAAGTTTTAACGAGACACATTCTTTGTACAAAAGCATCCAAGGGGAAGTGTTACGAAATACATACGTAGTAACACGAAGCAACTACGTAGCTTTTATCTTCCTTCGTATTGAAGTTTCTTGCCTATAAATACGACTATGAAATGTTTAATGAAAATACAATTTGCATTCAATTCTCTTATTTTTGCTTTAAACATTTTGCATAAATATTATTATATTATATATATACATATTGCTTTATAAATACTTGATATATATTATATCTTATAAATACGAGTTTGTACGGATCTGCCACTTGAAAAGTCTATCTTGCCCCTCATTTAAAAAATAACAATTTAGCCCTTAACCTACCTTTGTACTGGCTTGAAAAGACGTTTTGGAACCGTCGTCAGCAACCGCCGTCAACCGCCCAACACGAAACCGACCGAGGACCAACCGACCAGATCAACCGACCGAGGACCTTCCGACTTGCCTATCCGACCGCTAACCAACCGACCTGATTATCCGACCGAGGACTAACCAACCAAACCAACCGACCGAGGACCTTCCAACCTGCCTATCCGACCGCTAACCAACCTACCTGACCATCCGACCAACCGACCTGAGCGCAAATTTTTCTCCTTTTCCACCCAACTTCGTGTCTAACTTCCTTTAAGATCCTGTTATCCTTATTTTTATTATTATTATTATTATTTGTGCGTAACAATTATCAAAGTTGAAATATCCTTGCTATTTTTGACATTTCAAAACTCATAAAGAGATGCAGGGTCACCCTTCTTATCTCAGTCTATCCGCCTGCGGACCAGCTGACTTGCCTATCCGACTGCAGACCATCATCAGACCTGTTTGTCCGACCGCTAACCATCTTACCGAGGACCAGCCGACCATACCAACCGACCGAGGACCTTCCGACCTGCCTATCCGACCGCTAACCAACCGACCTGATCATCCGACCGAGGACCAACCGACCGAGGACCTTCCGACCTGAGCGCAAATTTTTCTTATTTTCCACCCGACTTCGTGTCTAACTTCCTTTAAGATCCTGCTATCCTTATTTTTATTTTTATTATTATTATTTTTTGTGCGTAACAATTATCAAAGTTGAAATATCCTTGCTATTTTTGACATTTCAAAACTCATAAAGAGATGCTGGGTCACCCTTCTTATCTCAGTCTATCCGCCTACGGACCAGCTGACTTGCCTATCCGATCGCAGACCAGCCGACCTACTTTATCCGACCGCAGACCATGAGACCTGTCTGTCCGACCGCTAACCATCCGACCGATGACCAACCGACCAAGGACCTTCCGACCTGCCTATCCGACCGCTAAACAACCGACCTGATCATCCGACCGAAGACCTTCCGACCTGCCTATCCGACCGCTAACCAACCCATCTGACCATCCGACCAACCGACCTGACCAACCGACTTAAGCACAAATTTTTCTCCTTTTTCATCCGACTTCATGTCTAACTTCCTTTGAGATCATGCTATCCTTATTTTTATTATTATTATTATTATTTTTTGTGCGTAACAATTATCAGAGTTAAAATATCTTTGCTATTTTTGACATTTCAAAACTCATAAAGAGATGCAGGGTCACCCTTCTCATCTCAATCTATCCTTCTGCGGACCAGCTGACTTGCCTATCCGACCGCAGACCAGCCGACCTACTTTATCCGACCGCAGATCATCAGACCTGTCTGTCCGACCGCTAACCATCCGACCGAGGACCAACCGACCGAGGACCTTCCGACCTTCCTATCCCACCGCTAACCAACCGACCGAGGACCTTCCGACCTGCCTATCCGACCGCTAACCAACCCACCTGACCATCCGACCAACCAACCTGACCAACCGACCTGAGCGCAAATTTTTCTCCATTTCCACCCGACTTTGTATCTAACTTCCTTTAAGATCCTGCTATCCTTATTTTTATTATTATTATTATTATTATTATTATTATTATTTTTTGTGCGTAACAATTATCAAAGTTGAAATATCCTTGCTATTTTTGACATTTCAAAACTCATAGAGAGATGCAGGGTCACCCTTCTTATCTCAATCTATTTGCCTGCAGACCAGCTAACTTGCCTATCCGACCGCAGACCAGCCGACCTACTTTATCCGACCGCAGACCATCAGACCTGTCTGTCCGACCTGCTGACCATCAGACCTGTCTGTCCGACCGCTAACCATCCGACCAGACCAACCGACCGAGGACCTTCCGACCTGTCTATCCCACCGCTAACCAACCGACCGAGGACCAACCGACCAGACCAACCGACCGAGGACCTTCCGACCTGCCTATCCGACAGCTAACCAACCCACCTGACCAACTGACCAGACCAACCGACCGAGGACCAACCGACCTGACCAACCGACCTGAGCGCAAATAATTCAATTGTATTTTTGTTTTACAGTTTATATTTCAAATAAATAATATTTCACTACATAACATTATAGAAAAGTCGCGCGGTATACCGCGCGCAAGAGCGTGTTCTAGTATACATATAAATATACTTACTAATATTATATTATACTATTATTATTTAACAAATTAATTTTATTAAATTCTCCCTACCCTAATTTATCCCAATTCCTAGCGGCCGGTAACCTCTATTTCCTTCCATCTTCTATTTTCAGTTGCATGTAAAACATTTCTTCTTCTTCCTTCCATCTTCTACCCTAATTACTGTTTCTTTCTTCTTTCTTACTTTCACCATTCTTCTTCTTCCCCCATTCTTTTCTTTTTTCTCCATCTTTCATTTCAGTTCTTCCTCTTCCAGCGACAGCAATGGATTGGGGGGCAACAGATTTTCTTTCTTCTTTCCTCTCCCTCGACACAAGGAGATCCACCGACAACTACCGCCCTTACACCGGAGTGGATGCAAAATTGGTCCAAGGCAAGCTTCAATTTGGGTACGTTGGTTTAATTTGGGGATTTTATCAATTGGGTGGGTTACGAAGAACAAGAACCCCGAGCGGTCTGAGCGTCATTTCAGTGCCAAAATATGATTGCCATTTCCGTGCTGAAATGTAAATGAACAGTTTTGTTGTTCAACATATATTTATATTCTACAATTGCAAATCTTTTCATATGACTCTATCGTGTTGGGTAGCAGCAAACAGTTTGATTTCAAGCTGAAATTTGTATATTCTAATTGTGTTTTGCATTCATTGGCTTGTGAAGTAATTGTTTCACTTTTTCAATTGCATCTTTATTTGTGTTTAAAATGACATGGGACTTGTTACAATAATATGCTGCAAGCACTTATGTTTTCCCAGTGCAAATATCCTTGATTCTACATATTATTAAATAGTTTGATGTGATGCACCAAACTAGTAACAGATTGATTATATATATGAAGTAGATCAACACTCCCAATGTGTTCAAAATAATGTCTATGATCTCTTGGTTGAAGTAGTCCTTCTTTAATTTTACCTTTCTGCATGCAAACATAAGGGTGTGGAATGGTAAGTCGTAGCTGGAGGTGGAGATAATGCAATTTCTCACATCTGATTATTAATTGTTGAGATATTTTAGATTTAGCGTATTATTTGTTTAGATTGGTTTGATTGATTTATTTTAGATTTTGTAAGTTTAGATTATGATTTCGTCTTACCCAATAGGTTAGATTGTTTTAATTTGAGTTTATCGAGTCTGTTTCATAGTGTCTATCTTTCTCATGAAGTAGACATAGTCTACCAATCCTTGTTTCTCCGGGTACATTCAACCTCAATGTATCCGGTCTCGAGTCTGTTTCATAGTGTCTATCTTTCTCATGAAATAGACATAGTCTACCAATCCTTGTTTCTCCGGGTACATTCAACCTCAATGTATCCGGTCTGTCTGTTGCATGCTCTGTCTGCTGTGTGTGATCTGTCCTCTATAAGCGGTCTGTATGCTATTTGTCATCTGTCCTTTGTCTGTGATCCTGTCCGTTGTCCGTGATATGTTCGTTATTGATATGTCTGTTTGTGTATGCGATTTTTCTGATATCTATGATCTGTCTGCTGTTTGTGATATGTTCGTTGTTTGTGATCCGTTTGTCTGCGTAGTTTATCAGTGATCCGTTTGTCTGAGTAGCAGTGATCTGTTTGTCTGAGTAGCTGTGAGCTATTTGCTTATCAGTGATTGGTTTGTGTGTGTGACCATGAGCTATCGGCTTATCAGTGATTTGTTTGTCTGCGTAGAGCTTTCTACTATCGGTGATCTGTCGGCTGTTTGCTTTCGACTCATATTCCATTCAGGCAAACTCAAGTTAGTTTCTACGATACTACTTGAGTTTGAGAGAGGATGTTGAGATATTGTTTTAACTTGAGTCTATCAAATATGTTTCATAGTACCTATATATAGGCCCTTATTTTATTGATGATATAATGCAATTTTTTTGTTTCCTTAAATATTTAACATTGAGGATCTATGGTTATACAACATTACATTTATATTGTCTTTGCACCATTCTTACTGGTCTACAACTTTCCAAGCTTATGTGATGTTAGTATACATTTTAATTTCAAATTGTGAATTTGTTTGGGGATGCTTGAAACTATTTAGCAGGATTCTTGTTTGATTTCATTTGAAAAGGTTGCTCGGAGTTACTTCGTAGTTTTTTTTAATGTACTTACATAGATGGAACTTTTGTGATTAGCTCACCATGAAGAAGATTGCTCCCAAGTGCGTGCACCAAGAACGGATGGGAGTGTGGATACATTGTCTGATTTTCCTTACTGTAATTATTATTATTATTATTAATTATTTATTTTAATTTTGATTTTGATTTTGATTTATTTATTTTTGTGGGTTGTAGTATATTCTTGTCACATTATAAATGAAGGAAATATGTATTGTTAAGGCAGACATGCTATTTTGTACCATATTTGATGACTTTTGCTGCAGAAATAGCAAATATAGAAATAAAACTCTATTTTTATCTCTACCATTTTTATTATTTTTTCTTTGTTTAATTGGCTCTTTTTAGAAGGATTCCCACAGGCCAGGTCAGCACACTAGTAAGTGAAAGATAAGTTGTTTGTTGCAAGAAGATTTTGAGGAGATCTTATCTGCAAGGTGTGAATTACTTATTAGTCAATGTGTGTCCAAAAATGGGCTGAAGATTTATTTAACTTGAATTTATCAAATATTATATAAAATGTTTATGTTCTTAAAGAGCCTTGATTTGTTCATTGATTCACTGAGATATCGGCAGACTAATAAGGATTGGAAGTTTGTGATATGTTATTTGAATAGCCTTAGAACTTTGTCTTTAATATTCTCCCCTGGCTATGCTAAATTTTTTCAGTGCATTTGTGCTTGGCTTCATTTCTATATTTAACACTTTCGTAAATTTTTGTTAATTAAGCATGGTCAAATGTAATTGTATGTGAGAAAATATATATAAGAAAATATTGGATTTGGTATGCATCAAATTATTCAGATTATTGGCACCAACTTTTTATCCAATGCTTCTAGGGATTTCTTGGATGCTTGGCTTTATTTTTCACTCATAGTTTTTGCTTTATCTTTCCGAAGATTCATAGCCCATTATTGTGTCATGTCGTTTCACCTATTTTCTTGGGTATTTAGATAGGTCCGGAGTATCTTACTGCACAAGGAGAACGCATGGTGATAATGCTCATCCGGCATGTATTTGCAATGGAGAAAGTACCTCGTCCCTACATGAAAACACACTTTTAAATGTCTATGAAGAGATTGAAGATATGGTAAGCACAGGAGATGGAATCGAGCTCGAACCATATGTGTAGTGTTGAGCTCCTCTTCTTGTCCACATCATCGTCATCATCTTAAGTATTGTAGAGATATTTACATTGCTCAGATAGTTAGGATCCATGCAACCTATAATTCTCTCAACATATGTCAATGCTTTACTTTCTTCCATGCCTAATTAACATCTTTGAGAGTCCAAAGTCAAGAGTTCTGGTGCACAATATGCTATGCTATGCTGGTGACAAATTATTATTATCAAGTTTGTATGTATTTGACACATTTAATATTGTCGAGCCTGGATCACATTGATGCCAAATCATATCAAACCATGAATTTTTTGGTATTCTTTTAGTGCTAGCTTATTTATACATTTTAACTAAATTATATTTTCAAAGAAGAATTTTTAACAGAAATCTCATATTTGGACTGATAGTTTGATGAATAATTAAAGTCATACCCAATGAAGCATAAGGGTATTTGGAGGCAAATAATTCAAATAATACCCCTATATTTGATCAAAATATTATGAAGAGCTCTTTATCGATTAACAAATATCATATTTCTGTAATAAATTTCTTACATCTCTCACGTTTAATTAATTTGTGTATCCTATTTTATAAAATTTAATATCTAACATCTTATTTTTTTCGCTTTATTTATTTCATTATATATCAAATATGCACCATATCCATACATCAATTACCCGTATACAAAGGGTGTGTTTCCTTGGCCCGAATTGGGAAAATTTGGGTTTAAAATTAGTGTTTATTTGAATTTTAAGATAAGTTTGACTAGTTTTATGTTTCTTTTGTGTTTGTGTACGTGTTTGGTTTGAGTTTGGGAAGTTTGGATATATATTGATTTGATATTTTTATTTATTTGTATTATAAAAATTTTTATTCAATACAAAATGAGATATATATTCTATATATTTTTCAAACTATAATTATTATAAATATTAAATAAATTATAATTTGAATATTTTAAATTAAAAAAAATACAAACACACATAAGCATAAAGTTGCATGTCTGCAGCCTTGTCGGATTTATAGTAGCAACCCAAATCGGAAAACATATAAAACATAACCGTTCCATATATTATTTTACACTCTATCAAGAGTAAAGAAGAAATTGGAATTGGATTGAGCATGACTTGGTTTGGGCCTAGCTTAGATTGATTTTGGCTTAGGTTTGACTATATTAAATGTCAAGATTTGAGCCAAACCCAAATTGTTTAAAGCCTAGTGGAGGTCCAGATTAATTCGGTCAGATGGTTGTTGGAGCCAGGCCGGCTGGACGGTTGGCCCTACGGACAATTTTCATCTGAGTTTACGCCTTGGGGCGGTTGGTTACAATGGTAACCAACAAGAAAACAGTTTTTGGACGGTTCAGAACCGACGTGGAAGTAGTTTTTAGACGGTTCATATTGGTAATCGACGAAGAAGTAGTTTCAGACGGTTCGGATCGGTACCCGACGAGGAAGCGGTTTCGGACAGTTCAGATTGGTAACCGACGAGGAAGCAGTTTTTTACGGTTACCGACGTGGAAGCGATTTTTTACGATTACCGACGTGGAAGCAGTTTTTTACGATTACTGACGTGAGAGCGTTTTTTTGGGCGGTTCAAGGGTAACCAACATGGAAGTGGTTCTGGACGGTTCGGTTTTATATGTATATAAGCAGTCCCAGTGAGAAATGATGAACATCTTCAATTTGAAAAAATTTCAAGAGAATCTCATTGGAGATCATCATTTTATTTCTAATTATCCTTTTCAGCTTTCCGTTTCCTTTTAATTTGAGGATCTACAGTCCCAAGTTTTATTGTTCAAGTTCAAAATATATTTTTGAATTTTACTTTTTATTTGTTGAGATTTTACCATCAACAATTTGGCGACCACAGTGGGAGAAAGACAAAATTGCTGATCCTACATCTAACGAAAATTTTATACAACTCCGATCTGGTCGAGTCGTTGCAAGGAACTTCATGGCAGGTTCTCAATCTCAAAGCCTCAGCATATCCATCGAGGCCACCATGGCAACGCCAACCATCCGAATGGTTAAATCATGTTCAAAAAATGAATAATAAGCAAACAACAACCTTGCAGATAATGTTGCACGAGCAACACAACTTGATACATAATATGCTAGGTCAAACCCTATCGAGAGTTTCACTTCAGTCCGAGCCTTCACCTCCAGGAATGTCTCTGTCGCGCCTTCAGGCAAACTTCGCAGGGCCGTCGTTAGTGGATAGCACCATTCAAAGTGCTACAGCCCCTATTAGGGCACAAAGAGGGAAAACTCCCCTCACTTTTCCAAATAATATCCCTCTGGGAACTCGGCATGAGCCATTTCAACAGAGGGATGACCGACCTGGACAAAGGGATGACCGACGTGGAGATCATCCTCATGATCCCATTCCAGTTCCAGATCATCATTCGGTCGGATTGGACCTAGACGACTTCGTACACGTTCTGATGGTCCATTTTGGTATGACTCCACAGATTATCAATCGGCCTGCATATCAACGACCGTTCCCTGAAAGGATTATCAATGAACATCCTCTTCCCAAGAATTATCGACCACCCGAATTTCACACATTCTCGAAAGAGGACGAGTTTTCTACTATTGAGCATGTGGGACGGTTCACGGCCCAGTTAGGGGAAATCGGTAACAATTTATTTCATAAATTGCAGTTGTTCAGTCTTTCTCTGACCAAGAAAATATTTTCTTGGTTTTTCAATCTCTCACCTGGGCAAATACACAGATGGGAAGGATTGGAGACAACTTTTCACAGTAGTTCTTCAATCCTGCTCTAATGGTGTCTTTAACCGATTTATTGGACATGAGATAGATTTCAGAAGAGTCTTCTATGCAGTTTATAGAAAGGATCTATTTCAGAAGAGTCTTCTATGCAGTGGACATTGAACTGACAAGTTTCACGGGTCAGTTGACTTAGTCGAAAGGTATGATGGTAGCCCCGATAGAGGTCGGGCCTAAAATAAAATTAACCGTGTTCTTTGTGGTAGATGCAGGTACCATGTATTTGGTGCTCCTAGGAATATATTGGATTCATGCGTTCCAATGTGTGTTATTATCTCTGTATCATCAACTGATATTCTGTGAGGGTAACCAAGTTTTCAAAATGGAAGTGTATATTGACGACGTGATCGTTAATTCAGCTGATTCCGAAAGTCATTTAAAAGATCAGAGGCTGAGACGGGCCGACTACTTGGATCATTGGAAGGTCAGCCTGGAGTTCAGGAATCCGTTCCACCAGTCGGTGCAAAACTGGAGTAGCCGCCGACTCGGTTGGGTGTTGAATCAGCAAATCAATCGTGACTTGAGCGAGATCTTGAAGTTCTTCAGGCTTCAAGTCAGCAAAAGGCAGTGTTGCATATCGGGCCACGACTGATCGACCAGTTGCTGGAACTCGAAATCGAGATGAAGGAGAAATTGAGATTATGCTGCCAAATAGAAATGTTGATTTAAAATTAAGAATATCAACAAAAAATTTGAGAAGTATGCGTAGTTGTCTACCTGACTCTGAATGGCGGTCGCCTCGGAATGAGCCAACATTAGGGGAAGTTGGTTGACCTCACATGGAAATGATTGGAAACAGCCGTCCAACAGGAAGTTGGTTGGCCTCAGAATATCTCTACCAGAATCCTTTCCAACAGGAAGTCGGTTGGCCTCAAGAGACTCAGCCGCTAGAGGATTGGCCAGCTTTGGAAGGGCCACCCACTGGGGGATCCAAAGACGGGAGCCTAACCGCCGGATGATTTATGGCCAGAAGGTCAGCTGTTGGCAGGTCGGTTGGTGGTTGCTTAGGAGAAGCCGGTAGTGTGGTCAAGAAAGAAAACCAGGAATACCTTGTCGGCAACCGAATTGACGCGCAAAAAATGGGGTTGGTAGTGAAAGACTCCCAATTGTTGTTGCAGACTCCTAACCGTCACTTCTTGTGCCAATCAAGAGTGACGTTTCGGAGTCAGAGAAAGAGGAGACAAGTTGTCGAGCACAAAAAAATAAGATTTGGGTTTGAGCCGAGTAATGATAAATGGATGGGCCCAGTGGAGGTTCAGTGGCGGGCCAAATTCATACGGTTGGATGATTGTTCGGGCCAAGTCGGTGGGACGGTAGGCCCTACGTATAGTTTTCATCCGAGTTTGCGCCTTGGTGCGGTTGGTTACAATAGTAACTGACAAGAAAGCAGTTTTTGGACGGTTCAGAACCGACGTGGAAGCAGTTTTCAGACAGTTCAGATCGGTAACCGAAGAGGAAGTAGTTTCAGACGGTTCAGATTGGTAACCGGCGAGGAAGCGGTTTCGGACAGTTCAGATCGGTAACCGACGAGGAAACGGTTTTTGAAGGTTACCGACATGGAAGCAGTTTTTTACGATTACCGACGTAGAAGCGTGTTTTGGGTGTTTCAAGGGTAACCAACATGGAAGTGGTTCTGGATGGTTTGGTTTGATACGTAACCTGAACCATATTCCAAAGTTCGAATTAAATAAACATAAATGTCAAATTTGTGTTGAAGCAAAACAAACTCGATTGTCTTTCCAAACGATTCACCGTGAAAATTAACCACTCGAATTAATTCACAACGACATATATGATTTAAAATTTGTACAAACACGAGGTGATAATAAATATTTTATTATATTTATTGATGATTGTACAAAATACTGTTATGTGTATTTACTTAAAATCAAATATTAGGCATTAAGTAAATTTATTTTGTACAAAAATGAAGTGGAAAACCAACTTAACAAACGGAATAAACAAATTCGAAGTGACATAGGTGGAGAATATGAAACTCCGATCGGTGAATTTTGTGTACAAAATGGAATAATTCACGAAGTAACTCTACCTTACTCACCTCAATCAAATGGCGTTGCTGAACGCAAAAATTGCACATTAAAATAAATGATGAATGCGATGTTGTTAATTTGTGGACTACCCCAAAAATTGTGGGGGGAGGCAATTTTAAGCAATAATTATTTGCTTAACTTAATACCTCGAGAAAATATGGAGAAGATGCCTTATGAGCTTTAAAATGTCGTAAACTATCTTACAAACACCTTCGAGTGTGGGAGTGTGTAGCTAAGGTAGTGGTGTCATATCCCAAACGTGTGAAAATCAGTCCCAAGACAGTGGATTGCATCTTAATAGGATATGCACATAACAATACTGCCTATTAATTCTTGGATTCGAGAATTTTGGATATCCCAAAGAATACGATAATGGAATAAAAAAATGCATCATTCATTAAAAATATGTTCCCTGCACAGGCAGACGTTGAATCTAGTTCGGCCGAC